GGTGTGATGTTACCTTCGACGCCAGGAGAGGGCCTGGCGACGACGGACCCGAGACTGGCGCCGTGATCTTTTGGCTGAACGCTTGCTGGACACTTAGGAACTACGTCGGGGTTTCCATGGGTTTCCAGTCAGGTTTCCAGTCGGGTTTCCAGTGGTTCCACCGATCTTCTGGGAAGATCGGAATGACCAGCGACCACCGTGGTGTTCTCGGTTGGAACGTCGACCATGGACCTGGTGCCGGGGGAAGGACAATGACTCCGACTGGATCCGACTGGCCAGAGAAAACCTTCAACGACCACAGCCGACAGCCCCGCACACGAATCCTACAGTGTACGGGGACCCAGCCCATTGGTCGGATTTACATGCATGTTTGTTCTATTAAAAATGCACTTCACCAAACAGGATCAAACATGGCGTTTATGGTTGTTGATCGTCAAACTGTGCATTCTTAACTATGTATACAGCTTGTATATGTTTGTATGTTCAAGCCGCAATCCGACTCAAATGTCTCGAGGGTGGCTTGGCATGTGAGAGATTATAAACCCCCCCATGCAAGAAACGGAAGCATGCTCAATCCCCTGTAAAACGATGAGGAAGAACAACAACAATAACGTCAAAAGTGGTATGGGGAAAAGTAAAGTTTTTTTTACACGACCTCATGTGTTTTACTCTTCAATCCCTAGCTGGACATGTTTATCTCAATCGGCCGTATTTGGTGTCTGGGGGGGATAATTAAATCAAACTAAACATCATAAATCATCATAAATCACATGTCCATCATCATCTAAATTGATTATTTGTAAAAGTCCCAGTCCCAATCCGGACGCTTAGCTCAAAAGCTCAAACCAACAGACGCCGTTTTTTTCCCGCTCTTAGGTGTTCAGGACAACGGGCCTGGAACACCGTCATGGGACGCTCTCTGCTGCTGCTTTGGCGACGAAGGATTCGCAGGACGCGGTGACGTATTGGGTGACGTATTTGGTGTGGAATCTATTTAGTTTTTTCAGGCCCGTTCCTATGAACATAACATTCGGACCTATATATGTTGTGTTTTTTTCTTCAGTTCGTTCTTTTCTCAAGGACCACTCAGCAGCAACTCTCCAATTCTTTCTAAGATTGGGAGGTCTCGCTGGCTGCGAGTGGCCTTCATGCATGAGAGCAAGATCTTGATCTGCGGCAGGTCGAGCGGCGCCGTGGTTCATGCCAGTTCTGGCGGGATGGTTGGTGTCATTCACAGGATCCCATCAGCACTGGCTCATGAGAATCAGGACTTAATCGTATTAGTCCGATCCGTATTTGACCGTTCCCTGTCGTATTGACTTGTTCTGTGACATGTTCCATATTCATCCATGTTCCACATCCTTGAGGACGACTACAACCTCAACATTTCGAGAAATTTCGGTTGTTGTTGCTAACTTAAAAGCGTTTTTGGCCGAGCTGTAGTAGTCTGTAGTGGTGCTGATCGGGTCAATGTTTGTTCTTTTTCTATCCAGACCAGCCGGGGGGTTTGGTGTCGAAAGGACTGTGCCAACGGCCAGAGTTAATCCACCAGAACCTCTTCAGATGGGTATAAACGAGTCCTCAGAAAAGTGCTGGAGGATTCTTCAACACAAGGGTGGGTTCCCAGTGCGCAGACTTGCTTTGCCCAGTTCCATCTCTTTGAAGCATGTTTAAAGAGCGGGCCGTTGTGATGGCAACCTTTGAACCTTCGACGCACTGTCCTTCCGAACCCCCAACAGTAGCCATGGATAGTGTTCCAGCGGTCCATTTTCCACGATGTTCCAATTTGGATTTGTGAGTTTCTAAAGGACTCGAAGCACCAACGGAACACGCAGATTTTGTTGTGTAGAATGTTGGCTGGGAGTTAAGGAGAAGCATTAGATTGAACATTGTGACAAATCGTCATATTCTTTGATCTCCTGGATTGGGCGGGAGAGCAACTCAGAGCTTTCACCAGGCGTGCGAGTTGCCCTACCAATTGGGCTACACACCATTGTGGTATATAATCACCGCAATATTCAATATTCATGACATGCGATGAACTGGTGGCTTATATCATTGAACTCTTTTGTCTAACGAACCTCTCCGATCCCTCTGATCTCGGCAGGGCTGCCGTGTACGTGCCAATCTTTGGCAGAAGAATATCGCTTACTAGCTATCAGCATCCACAGTTTCTGGTAATGGCATCATCAAAAATCGCTCGTGGGCGGGCAGAGTTTGCTCTCATGGACTGATGGACACACCTGTAGCTGCCAAGTAGGGGCAGTTGGGTGCTGTAGCGGCCTTCCTCAGATATCAAATTGAAACACCGACAACGCAAGCAGCGGAATAGATGCAATTTGCACTTTGCCTCATTAAACGATAAAAGTATCCTTTATGGAGTCCTTTATGGTTCTGGAAACTACTACTTGGGAGGTTTCTGCTGATACACAAAACAAGATGATTTGTGTGTAGGGAAGCACTTTTTCTGCAAGTGTTTCTGGCACAAAACAAACAATATATATAATATAGCATATATATATATATATTTATAATATATTGCCCAGGCACACAAGCCATAAGGCACACACCCAAGCCAATGGCCTTTGCAATGGCATGGATGTGTACTGTAGATTGTGGGAGGACCAGCAAAGACCCTTTTTAACATCGCTCACTGCACCTTTTTGTTTCTTCTCGACTGGGCAGCCGTTGTGGCACGCTGTGACAAGCAGACATATCAGTTGCAAATGACCTACACTCCAAGTCATGAACATGGTTTCGTGGATGGCACCAGCTGGGACTGTCTTTCGGACAACTCATGGTTATCCGAAATCATATGAATCATGGCCAGGCCATCCACCTAACTGACCTAACTATGATTCCAGGGAGTGCTTCATGTCAATTTGTTGTCAAAGCGTCTCACCTTGGCCCCTCAAAACGGTCCGCGCATGGAGCAGTTCCCTGTGCACCAGATTAATAGAGTCAGGGCCTTTGCACAAGCACCAAGAGGGAAAGTCAGGATTCTCACTCAAAAGACTATCACATCAATGCTACGTACGAATCAATGCGAAGTTGAGACTTGCATTATTTCATTTCTCAGGCAGACGGGTCATGTTTTGTACGTTTTGGGGCGGACACGCAGAGCTGATGGAGCTGCCACGAACACTGCCTTCGCGATGGCAGAGGACGGGCATTTTTGACCTCTGAAAGATACACGGGCATTTTTAATAAGCAAAACCACCCACAATACGCCAAATGCCGCCGGAATGACGCGTTTGTTTCATCTACCGGAGAAAGGCCGCAGGCCGATTTCTTGGCATGAGGCATGAGCCGAAAGCATTCGAGCTCCTGCATTCGAAGGGTTTTTCGGAGTCAATGAACCTTGGGACGAAGCGACTTGGGAACCGACGAGTCGACCTTTGTTCAGAGATGGAGACCAGCTTCCGCCAAGCAAATGCTGAAAACGACGCGCCGAAAAAAACATTGTTTTGAGAGCGGGCCGCCGTGGGGTCTGTGTTTTGGTTCTCCGTAAACTTATAGTTTGAATTTTCAAGTGGCAGCCCCTTCTGTTTGTTTTTGTGTTCCCCCTTCTTGAGAACCGCCTTGACAAATAGGCGGCCCAGATGTTTCCTCTTTGACGAACCCCGACTCCTCTAAATTGGCGAACACAGGGATTTGGGGGGGGCATGGGACCTGGGAGGTGTTTCCTTTCGATTTAGGTTGCAGAAGCGATCTGAGATGATCTGAGTATTGTTTGTCTATTGTCATCAGCTCAGACCTATGACACATTATAGTAAGATCCAACGGCAACAAGAGCAATATCAGCACAACATCGGCATGTTGATGTATAATATATATATACACACATATTTATGCTTTCATGGTAATTTGATGTAATTTGCAACATCATCATCTCAAGATGCGATGATCAACCATTTGAACCGCTTGTGGTATAGATCGGACTGAGGGTATACACTCCCTGACAAATCATCATGCAAGTGGATGGCATGGCCCCGTGCATTGTCTGACCATGTTCCGAATACCATGCACGGGAGTGTAACTAGAGCAAATCATCCACAAATCCAAGGCAGACAGCCACCAAATGCCACCAATTTCCTTGGACAAGTCATGACGCAAGTCCTTGACATCAAGTCATGTTCCCCTTGGTCCGATCATCATTGCTCACTTTTCGAACCGCAGAAGCCAGGATCGGCCCAGTGCTGACCGTGACTGGACGCGAGCCAAGGAAGAGCGTCGCTGGACGGAATGAAGAGGGTGACGGGTGTGGATGGTCTTGGGGAGAGGGTGCGCCTCGTATTTGATTCGTTCATAGGAAGGTGCTTCAGTCGCTCTCAATATTGGCCGTATTTTCCCGGTTCCCTCTTACTCTCCTGACCTGTTCTGGTTGTTCGGGCTCCAAGCGAACGCGTGCATCGCTGTGTGCCATGCCGAAGCTCTTGGTGCCCACAGACTACGTGGATCATGAAGTGGCAAAGCTCAGGCGCGAGGTCATAGAGTGGAAGAACCAGGTGAAAAATGAGCTTCAAGAGCTGCGACGCTCGGTTTCAGAGACTTCGGACATCTGGGACTTGCGCAGTCTGAAGCAGATGCCGAGCTTGGTTGCGGCTTCGCAGGTGTGTTTACTAACTCTCGTTCCTTTGACAGTTCTTTGCAGGGCTCCCAGGCAGTTTCAAATGAATGTTTTCGCATGGGAAATTCACCAAGCTTTGTGATGCTTCGCCCCCAGATGAATCGATCGAAGTCCCTGCTGCACGCCCAGGATGCATGCAGCAGGGAGGCGATGGGAACGAAGCCACCACCGCACCCGTCCGAGTGGATGTGGATGAGCTTCTGGAAGGTGCAGATGCAGCAGATTCAGCAGGTGCAGCAGATTCAGCAGATGCAGATGAGGATGTGCAGGACACAGATATGGAGGCAGGAGGGATCAGGGGGGATGAGGAGGGGGGAGGTCCAGTAAGCTATGGAAAGCCGCGTTATCCTTTGGTGTTTCTCTTCAGGAGATGATTTGCTTTGACCGAAAGAGTGCTTGGAGCATTCCTTTGGTGCTTTCGAAGCACAATTTCCTGGAGAGCATCTTTGGGGCCTTCCTGATCATCATGAATGCCACCATGCAGGTCCTGTTCACAGTCATCATCATGTCTCCGGACTTCTTGGGAGAGGGCCTTTCCGTGCAGGATGCGCGCACCTGGCGTCTCAGGTTCGCGCACGATCTCGATTTCGTTGGCCTGGACCAGAGGAATTTGGCTTCGATCGTATGCGACGAGGACGGTGCCTTGATCTTCTCGACAGCTCAAGTGGCTCAGCTGGTGGATATCAACAACTACTTGGGACTTGACAAGTTGTCCTTTGAGCTGCCCAATTTCCAGTCTCTCGGCACATCCTTTTGGTCCTATGGGCCATATGTCGCTACAGCCACTTGCTGGGCTCACCAAGTCAAACCAAATGTGAGTCGTTTTGACATGTTTCCTGGGCAATGGACATGCACATGCCGTTTCTGCAGATTTAAAGACTAAGAACTATTTGCTGCCTGCCACCTGTGAGGCCTGGCATGTTGCTCGCAGTGCTTTGCATCCTTCTCTGGAACATTTGCATCTTTGCCGAGCTGCGGAGCGTGTGGTATGTTCTGAGAGGCGTCTTGTTGAGCGCTGGGGCATCAACATCGTCGTTGAAAGGCTTCTAGGTGAGATCACACCAACTCGACTCGACTGTTCTTTTTTCTGAAGTAAAAGCAGGTGAGAAGGTGAGTTTTGAATCCAACGAATTCGTGTTTATCTCTAGGACAAGCCATCAGGAGAGAGAGAGAGAGAGAACTGCGAGCCCGTCCACGTGAAATCGTTGTTGAGTTGTCCTGTAACCTAGACACTTTTCTTCTTTGAAAATCCCTTGAGCAGCTGCCCTTTGCTTCAATTATGTTGCATCCAGCTCAGGCTTGTCGTGGCAGCGGATCTCGATCATGACACTCGTGTGTGTGGGGCGTGCAGTGGTAGCGGGTGCCCTGCTGATCTCAGGCACCATCTGGCTGGGCAACACAACATCCATTACGGAGCTCATGTTGAACTCGGTTGCCCTAGAGGCGCCCCGAGAACAGCGAAGAATAAGTTCAGCAAGGGTCTATCGGAATTGATTACCATTCGACCATGTGTTTCTCCAATAGACTTCGAAAGAATCTCTTGTGTTGCAAGCTGATCGCCTATGGACGCTGTTTCTCTCACCGTCAGGATCATCGATCCCGGTCCATCCCATGGGTCGCTCCTCTTGCGTTTCTTCTCTTTGTGTTCCATGTTTTTTCATGTTTTCCCTTTTTCTCCTCTTCGTTTTGGGACCCTCCTCTTGGCTAGTTCCTGCATAGCTTCCTCCTCTTGGGTCGTTGTTGGTCTTGACGAGGCTGTCCTCCACATTGACGAGTTTATATGTCGGGCTCTGGTGCCAACCAGCCTGCAGCAGAAGATCAAGAGGCTGCCGCCAATGCAAGTGAGGAGGAGCCGACGCTGGCCGAGTGTCGAAAATGTTCTCCTCGCTTGTATGCTCGCGGCTGCGCTTTTGGTGCCCTACATGATTGTGCTTGCGCCCCTCAGAGCGACCATGCTCTCCGTGAAGAGAGAGATGTGTGGAGGGCTTGTTGATTTTGTCATCACTGGGACGTCAGGCCAGATGTATACGGCATTGTCTGCGAGCGCAGGGGCAGTGACCTCTGCAGAAGTCAGAAATGCGGAGCTCGCAGTTCACGAAATTCTTTCTGGCGAAGCCACAAAGAATGGGAGACCAAAGTATTCAATCTGGGAGGGGGGGGTCATTCGGATTATTGGTTGCTCGCAGAAATCAGGTATACCCAGATTTCAAGAAAGAGTTCTACGTTTGTCGTGAGAATGACCGTGACAATAACCTCACTGCAGTTTTGCAGGGTGTGGGCATGCGGGTTGGCAAGCCAGAAGCAAAGACCTGCGAAGAGCTGGCCTATTTCTGCGGTGAAGAAGCCCCTGAGTGGTTGTTCACGATGGAAGCGCTTTGGCTTCGCAACTCTTGCCCCAGACATTGCGGGTGCACTCAGCCACTGTCATCTCCACTGCTGAAGACTCCTTGGTTTGGCTGCACAAGACAATGCATTCAAGAGTCCTATGGCTTCAGCATGTTCGGATCCAGTCCCCTCTTCGGAAAGCCGCCCAATTTCACGACCGGCTGCAAGGACCAGCTTCCCGGATCTTCTTGGCGCCACTTTTGGGACAACTATTTGCCCATGCTGGACCACTACCACGGCTCTGACTACTTCGCAACAAGACAAGCCTATCTTGAATTTCGTGACTGGGCAAAGGTAGCTGGCTGCCCGGTTATAGCCACACAGCCTCAAGATTTAATGGGCTCCTTGGTGTGCAGAGGTAGCTCACGCTACTTGCCCCTGGCATGGTTTTGCCCAGAGACTTGCGGCTGTAGTGCATCTGGCAACCTTGAGAGAGACCACTTTTGCTTCGCCTACGACTATTGCCCGATGCATGTCATGCCCAATGAGACTGAGCAGGCATGGCAACTTATCAGGAAGTATGATTTGCTGCGGACACTCATGAACCCAGAACTCTTGTTCAATGACGACGCGTGGAATTAAACTGTGATGTACGAGCGACTGGGCAGCCACCCTTTGCCGCTACTATTTTTGAAGAGTGTCTACTTTGTCTGAAATGCAGCTTTTTGAAATGCATGAATTGCATTCACCTTCGCTTTAAATGCCAAAGGCAGACCCATCGTTTCTTTTGTGAATGCAGCAGAAATATTTGCAGAGTTTCTTTTTTGGTTTATATAAACTGATCATAGTTATTCATAGTTGCATGTGTAAAAAAAAAAACTCTCTCTCTCTCTCTGTCTTTGCAATATGCATTCACAGTTACATGTTTACATCAACTGCATATGTTATTCAACAAGAAACCTTTTGATGCAGCCAACCAAATCGCATCACCGAATGTAAGCCACTTGAGCATCTCAGGCGCCCAACACCGCGATTCCCCTCGCCTTTTTGGCGGCTGTGGCAACGAAGGACGCCTCCAGACAGTGATGTACTGGCGGAGAACAGTGCCACATCGGTGCAAGTAGGGCACAAAAAGTGAGGTTTTTTATGGTATTAGAGGCTTATGTTTATTCAATGTTATTAATGTATGTTGATTCTCTAGGATTGGTTTCCTCGAATCAAACTGAGGCAGGACAAAAAACATCAGAACTACTGTTGACCCACGACAGCTTTCACTTTCTGAAGAAGTCATGGTAACGCAGCTCACGAATCCACGACATACCTCGGCTACCCATCGTGTGTCGTGTGCGAAAGCATCTGGGTCCAAGGAACAGTTACGGAACGACCGAGATGCACCCATGACACGACTAATGGGACTGCCATATATGCCGCCCCATTGGCCCCCAAAACCACTCCAACTGATCGGCATATATGGCATATAATGGAGTGTTTGGGATATAGACAATAATAGAGATTACTAGATTTATCGAGTGGTCACTCGGTCGGCACGTGTTTACCTGGCGTGCACGCAGGAACCTACAATACCAGAACATCAACCTGCTGATTCATCATGGAAAATACATGTACCATCATTTACGGCTCCTGTGTAGGATACGTTCCCAAAGTGGCTGGCAGGGATTGGATTGATCTCTTCAAAACCCAGATTCCTCGTGCCAGGCACCATTAGCACCGTCGCGTGGTGCTCTCCGCCGTGCTCTCCGCGGCCGGCGCAGAAGCTGCGTGGTGCGATTCGCAGAAGAATGGGCTGAGTGGATTGCCCGCACGAACGTGGGCAAGGATGGGACAGATTCCAGGGCCAAAGTCGATAACCCGACAGACCATGCCCCCAAACCAGAACGCGGTCATGCATCTTCAATTGACGGTTGCCAGACGTTTAAAGACTAGAGTTTTGAGAGGGCAAAATCGACATGATGCTAGTTGCTGGAAAAAAGGAACGAGTGCGAACTGTGATATTGGAACTTTTTCTTTTTGACATGAACCTCCCTGTTCGAACCAAACAAGTGAGGGAGAGTCTATGAGTCTAGAATGAGAGGCCTTCAAGGGCTCAAGGGAGCTTGGTCCAGGACTTGTGTTTGGAAAGGACATAATAGGGAAACATATTTGTTGCTGAATTCATGCTATAGAAAGGAGCACGCCAGGACATTAAATTAATCTGAATGGGGACCCTGTCCTCAGTTGTCCTTGTGAACTTGCATAATAGACTTATCGATAGCTATATAGGTAGATAGAGAGATCGATTCCAACGATTTCTTCAATTGGATCAACCGGAAGCACCTCCGGATTTTTCCAGAAAACCGGAAGCATCCGGAAGCACTTCCATGTTTTGACCTGAGTGTAAGTAGTTACTTAATCCCATCTATATAGATGGAAACTGAGACGATGCATGGAACTGAGGCGATTTTCCGTCTTCTAACCTCGAACGCACGGCAGAGACGGAACGCCTGCTTGCCCATCCCTCCTTCCCTTGCCCAGGCCAGCGGCGCGGACGGGTTTCCTGGCTTTCCCAGAGAGCTTCGTGTTTGGCGTGGCCACCTCAGCATATCAGATCGAGGCGCCGCTCGGAGCGGAGCGGCGTCTATCAGACCGGACAGGAGCGGAGGCGTCCTGGACGGCATGATCGGTTGGCGGTACGGAACAGACATCCATCCTTTGGGGTGTCCAAATTGAAGGCAACGAAAGAAACAACTATATATTGATGTTCGTTATGTTTAGAATGCATTCATCTTGAACACATTGACACTGTCACTTTCGCATCCGTTGGGTTCAGGGTACAAGCGCCCGCACATAGGATCGATCCATCAGCAGTCGTGACCCACCTGGAGCCCCACTGGTCGTCCAACACGTGGCGAAGCACCAGGGCTTGGGCTGCGGCGACAGCAAGTTCGCATATCGTTGGTCAAGCAAGGGCTGCACTTATTGCTAGTCATGCTAGTTCCAGGCTGTAAAAAGCACCTACTCCAAAAAGTCACAGAAACTTTTTTGAGATCAAGTTCCCACTCAGCAAAAGGTTATTCAACCGCTGGTTTAGGTAGAGTTGGTTGGCCCCAAGCAGCTCCACCCTCTCTAACAAGGAATCACGACTGTTCGCAGTTTTCCTTTGTTTAGTTTTGTCAGTGCTTCCATGATAGTAGGTATAGCCCCAGACAGCAGAGGTCCATTCATTGTTTCAGGGGTTTGCGACTCGGTGGTTATTGCATTTCACCCTCCCTGCAACAATGGTGGAAGTGGACAACCCCGTCTTGGAAGAGGAAAGACATCTTCCCTTCGGAGCCAGAACGTCCACGCAACCCCGATTGCTTCAAGGGAGCGGGCTCGCCCCCCCAAATCCAGTCTTTCATCCTCCGCATTCTTCAGATGGTACATGGTACATGTTCCTGGATGTTCTGAAAAGCTGGCGCAGGGCGCAGCGGCGGAGGGACGTGGGCCATCCATTTGGGACACCTTCTCGACTGCGGGGCATGCGAAAGATGGAGCCACAGGCACCTGTCAGACACAATGGGCATGGGCGGGTTTCAGTTGGAGATCCATTCAAGCATGTCAAGTGGTAAGTGTTCCTATGTTTTCCTCTTTTGAGAATCTGAGTGACACACACTTGGACCATGAACCTTTTAAGTTTGTCCGCTGAGAACAGTTGTCAGGTGGATTATAGGTACTTAGAGAATCTTAGAGACGAAGTTGTTGGTAACTGTGTTTCACTTCTGGATACAGCACCAAACAACACCAAGTGGCTCCATCTGCACTAGTTCTCGGAAACGCAGCGCGACATCGCTGAAACACCTCGCGGCGCGCACCGCGAAGAGATGGACCGCATGGGGGACCTGGGTGTTCCCTTTGTGGGGTGATTCCGATGTTCTTCGGACAGTGGAACGGTAGATTGTTGAAGCGCGACGGTTCCGTTGAAAGAAGTCATACACGTCGATGAAGGAACACATCACATGGAAGTGGATGGCACCCGCCTGCTCGTCAAGGAAGGTCTTCCTTTCAGGATCATGCCATGCACTTAACCATGTGATGAGCTTCGTCAGTACTTTAAACCATTTTTCACTGGCACAACTCGACTCAACTCCACGCTTGACGTTGGAATCATCGTTTTCTCGAACAACATCCGAGGTGAGGTGGCATGTGATCACTATCATTTGTTCAAGGACTGAGTTCAGGGGCACGGCCATCAAACGTACGACATACGACATCAAGCCATGAGAGATTTGCATGAACCCGTCACTTTTGCAGGTAGACCTGAACGTGGCAACACTTGCCGGGATTCGGATCCAGGTAGACCAGCTTGGCGAATGGCCTTCAAAACTCTACAGCACTCGAGAATAGCACCCTTTGAGCGAGGCCAGCACGGGTAGCTGAGCTTCCACATGTGTGACCAGCCTGGGAAAGTTCTGCCTTCGAACAGGGTTTCGACTCTGGGCACAGTGTCCTCCACACGCAAAAGAGATTAGCCGCTTAGCTAGCAGCTAAGCTACTTGATCCTCGCCTGATCTTCACGACATATGGAGCACCGGATGTTTTGTAGTTACGGGTTTTTGATGGTTTTTGCCACTCACATGGTGAATAATCAACTCCTAGAAATCGTTTCCGGACAACATACATGCCATGTCCACCCTTTTCGTCTCCAGATCGTCCACCTACTTGCTGCCCACCTGAAGATCGTCCATCCCTTTCACAGCTCAGCCTTGGGATCAGATCTGTTGCCCGCAGCGGTTGTGACGTTTGTTTGAAGGGCCCAATACCCCAATTCCTCTCAGAAACAAAGCATCTTGGAGAAGGGCCCAGAGAAGTTCGGGACAGAAGGAAGACGAACACCTTGAACACTTTGAACTCCCTTCTTCTCAGGTCTCTT